GCGGTTCCTTAATAATTAGTGTTTTAACATGTAGAGTCCCATATAAATGATGTCTTTGCTTGACTGTAAAGCTTAGCAGTAGCTATCGGGTGGTAGAATTCTTTCAAATATTTTATTAACATGTACCAGAGAAATTCTACATAAATAGTAATTGTAGTAGTGAATCTTGTTATGTTTTTTGTTGCTTCTATGGGTAAATAAAAAGGTTTTTTATTATGGGATCATGTTTAGACTTTGCATTTAGTGGTCCTAATGCAACATCAGGAGGTGATATTTTTATTAAATGCTGTCAGGTATTTCTCTTGTTGATTTTTCGTAGTAGTTCTTAACAAAGTTCTAAATTGTTCTTTTTTTTTTTTTCCCCCCCACTTGCCAGACCTTAATTTATTTTGGATTAGGATTCCCATGGCATGTGAACTAGAAGATAATTTGAAATAGAAGGTCTCTTTATTTTGAAGTGACAGTCTTTATCAAAATGGTTGGAAAACTCAAACAGAACTTGCTGTTGGCGTGTCTGGTGATCAGTTCAGTGACAGTGTTTTATTTGGGCCAACATGCTATGGAGTGTCACCATCGAATAGAAGAACGCAGCCAGCCTGTGAGGATGGAAAGCGTGAGAAGCACAGTAAGAACTGCTTCCAATGTAAATCCAAACAAAACCTTTGCTTACAACAAAGACATGCCTTTAATATTTATTGGAGGAGTACCTCGAAGCGGCACTACCTTAATGCGTGCCATGCTTGATGCCCATCCGGATATTCGATGTGGAGAAGAGACAAGGGTAATCCCACGAATTCTGGCAGTTAAGCAGATGTGGGCTAGATCAAGCAAAGAGAAGATCCGACTGGATGAAGCTGGAGTCACAGATGAGGTTCTAGACTCAGCCATGCAAGCATTTTTATTGGAAATCATTGTGAAACATGGAGAGCCTGCTCCGTATTTGTGTAACAAAGATCCTTTTGCTTTAAAATCCTTAACTTATCTTGCTAGAATTTTCCCCAATGCCAAATTTCTTCTAATGGTACGGGATGGTCGTGCATCTGTGCATTCCATGATATCTAGAAAAGTCACGATAGCTGGCTTTGACCTTAACAGCTACAGGGACTGCTTGACCAAGTGGAATCGTGCTATAGAAACCATGTATAACCAGTGTATGGAGGTTGGTTTTGAAAGGTGTATGCTGGTACATTATGAACAACTCGTATTGCATCCTGAAAGATGGATGAGAACTCTCTTGAAGTTTCTTCGCATACCCTGGAACCAAGCAGTGCTGCACCATGAAGAAATGATTGGAAAAGCAGGGGGTGTTTCTCTTTCAAAGTGAGTATGAGCGTTCCTCCTTTACCTTGTATTGTTCTGAGGTAAAATACTACCTTTTGCGTATAAAAGACTAGTCATAACTTGGTTTCAGTTTTTAAGTAGCTAATCAGGAAGCTGATTTATGATGCAGATTGTCTGGAAAGTAAGAATGATTGTTAACTAACAATTTGCAGTCTCTGCTCCTGCTAAACAGTTGTCCCGCTAACGTGTATGGGAGCATACAAACAAACTTTTAACTAATGGTCAGCCTAACTTGAATTTGGATGTCTACTATCAGCCTTTCTTCCAATATAGCTTTGCTTTTCCCTGTGCCCCAAAACAAAGCTGGACTCTCTTACCTAGACTGGTGTTACTCATCCTAGCAAGATCACCCATTTCAGGAACTTAAATATTGTTGCCAATGCCAGAATGGCCTATGAGTTATATTTGCCAAGAACATACTCTTCCAGGAAACTTGAAAAACTGTTCCAACAAAATAGAAAGCAGAATTGGCGTGCTTTTCTTTTGGCATGTGCTCCTAAAAGGACAAGCATTTTGAATAAAATGAACCTTGTTGTAAGCAAACTGACTTAGCTACTTTCAGAAACCAGAATTCAGCTCTGCTTAGAAAACCTAAATAGGTATAGTGAAAGAAAAAAAAAAAGCCAGTTAATTCTCCAGCTGAACTACTCTTTCTGGTTTCTTGGCCATTGTTTACAGCAGAGCTGCTGAGATAGGGGAGCTGGCTAGTCTTTACGGTGGGGAAAGGTATGAATATTTGAATCTCTCTTCTTCCTTTTTTTTCCTGTGACAGATAGGTCTACCAGATTGTCTTGGTTAAGTTTCTAAAATATTGATTAAAAAGCCCTATTCCAACCGCAAGGCATGCCCAGTCCTTGGCTTCTGTTTTTTGAATACTCATCACTGGCCAAGTGCTTCTGAGTAACAGAGCCACATTGCACAGCAAGCAGTGTGGGCTGGGTAGAGACATGTCAAACTGTGGAATACAGAGTGATTTATTTTTATTTTTTTTTTAAACTACAGTTTTGAGAAATAACAATTGGGAGGTTTTGTTTATTTAAAGCCTAGGAAAGTGTGGATTTTCTAATCTTTTGTAGGGGAATATGATTTAAAGCAAATCATAGAATTATTAGCAGCTACAAAGAGAATTTAAAACTCAGATAATGGTTATAAATTTACAGTCTGGAGGTTTTGCATCACCATTCCCACTGAAGAAACACAGCCACCACCACTGTGTTGGCCGAGTATCAAGAAGCATCTCAGCCTTTTCTTTGTGGTATTGTTTGTTAGCAGATTGAAGCCTTCTGATACTGTTAACCCGAAGCAGTGTACGTCTCTGCAAGCTGTATCTGTATGCGAACTTCCCTTTACTTACCTGTATCATGTTCCTGCTTCACACTGGCAGCTGAGGGGGGAGTGAACTCACTTTTACTGATATAAATAGGTGATTGCCAAGTTCTGTTAAGTGTGCTGTAAAAAATAACTATGCGTAATGTCATTTCTAGTAAAGTATTAGTACCTTACAGCTTCCAGATTAGCATTTTTAAAAATTAATGAACCTCTATACTATAAAACTCAGTAGCCTTACTGAATTCATACAGTTTCAAGTAATACTTCTTGGTAAATCTGATGAAATGGGATGTGAGGAGTTGACAATACTTGTTCATGTCTCCAAAGACTAAGAAAACAGATTGTTTAAGATGTAGCTTTATGATTCAATCAAACTTTCAAATTTAAGACAAACAAGTATGGAAGTATGTGACCCTCAATTCAATCTGCTCATGGAATTCTTTTTGCTTTTATTATCTCTCATGAGATGATATGTCAAAGTAATTTATGTTTTCAGAAGGCTTTGGCAATAGTGGAAAAAGAATGGTTTATTAGTGTTATGTCTGTGGTGTTTATCTAATCGAATACCCTTGAAATATATGGGGAGATTTGTTTTCCGTTGCAAGAGACCTTTATAATTTGATAATGATTTCAGTGCTCAGTCTTTCACAGGCAGAGAAAACAGTGAATATGAAATTCTCTAACTTGGATGTCTGTTTTGTGTATTTATATGCTAGTAATTGAAATTGTGCAGGGAGAGCTTGAGATTCCCCAGTTTTATTTCCTTGTACCAGTTAAAACCTCCTGCTTTTGGCATCCCCAGGTCCTCAGTGCCCCCTCGTGTGCAGCAGAGTGCCGTGGACAGGGACAGAGGGTCCTTGCCCAGGGCAGGGGCTAACTGTCCAGAAAAATTACTCTTTGAAAAGATGCTTGCTAGGTAGTTTACTGAGAACTTTAGAGTCTGCCACAGACAGCTTATCAAATTTTGACAGCTGAACAAAACATACCTTGTATTAGACTTAGTTTTCCTTCTATCAAGTTGCATTTGGCTTGTTCTCAGCTGCAGCAAAATTCTTTACGGCCTTGGGTATGCATGGCTGTTAAGTTCCGGGTCAGGTTCTAACCAATGTTGTTCTCTTATGACTTAGAATTTCTCTTCAGGCTTACAGGAGAGTGCTCTTTACTTCACAGAGTGAACATTGTCGTCTTTCAGCCGAAACAACAGAGTCTGGAGCAGTGGAGCTCTGTATTCTGGTTAGCAGCTTTCACCTACCTGATAATCCAAAGGGACAGTGCTGAAGATCACTTCAGAGATAATCTAAGGAAATTCAAAACACTGCCGTCTATTACAATTCTCTCTTCTCACAAAGCTTTAATTTACCACGTGCCTGGCACCAAGTGCTTCAGGCTGTTTCAAAATAGTATATTAAAATCAGAACACTCAAATTATGTTACAGTTTTTACTGATTATAATCTGCAAAGGGTGTGGTACTGTGGAAAGACTTAAGAAAATGAGCAGAGAAACCTGCATCGATCATCTTCCACTCACCTTTAAGACTTTCAGATAGGCTCGGTATGGGCTCCAGAGGCATGATGCCTGCCCAAGTCAGGTCCAACATAAGATGCCTGGAGGTGTTTTAACTGTTGGAGGGTTTTTTGGAAAAAAATCTGACAAGAGTTTGTTGTCTTGAAATACTTAAAAACACTTTGAGAAAGAGGTTGCAGTAATGCTAAAAGATCTTTTATAATGATGTTATTACCTGGTAACAGAAAGCGAAAGTTTAAGAATATATTTTTAACTAATCTGAAATCAGAATTAACTCTGTCAGATGAAATCTGTATTGGATGAATGAGACTCCAGGTCAGTGTAAGGTGTTTTATTTTCAGTGGTATATAGAGTCAAATTGTGTGTGCAGGGTGTTTGTCTTCTAGAGCTGAGCTAGCCACCCAGTGGCTTGCAGAATTCTTCAGGCAGTGAGCTGACTCCATTTTTCTATTATTCCAGGCTCAGAAACTCTTATGCAATAGTCTCTTAATAGCAATATTGGATACTGGACAGTCTGTATTTAAGATTCTGACTTTGTCTTTTCCCCTGGCTGCTTGATTTGAGGAAACTGTTGGCTGCCTTACTCTCTTCTGCATTTGCTTAGTAATCCCTGCTTTTTCTGTTGCTTGTGCAGCCCTAGCTGCACCGTTGTTCTATTTTACTTAGCATTTTCGCCCCTTATTTTGGCTTTTAGCCAGCTGTAAGGAGAAACACTGCAAGGGTTTTAAGGATGTGCGCAACAGTATTTGTAGCAGTGTCAAACCTGTGGTTTGAAGTAATTGCCAGCGTGGCTGTTCAAGGAATGTATTACGGCTGGACTACATGCTATAACTAGTATTGTTAATATAGCTCTGCAAACAGCTGTGGTGACCACTGATGCAAAGAAATGTCAACCCTTTACAGCAATTTGTCTTAGGCTTATTATGAAAATAGCTGCCTATGCAAAACTACTTCAGAATATACTATTTTTAATACATCTGTTTGATTCTGGTACAGATGCAGAAGTATTTGGGGTTAGTCCTGTGTTTCATGCTACCAGCTGCTTTCACAGCTGAAACTCTTTCTGCGGTTTTGCAGTGGAGCCTGGAAGCACTGACCAGGCAGCGTTTGCCATATGCACAATCAAATTTGCCAAGACTTGGTACGTCTCCTTGGTTTGCTTTGTTTGGATTTTGGGCTGGTTTTTTTCCTCCTATCCCCTCTCTGTCTTGCCCCATACTCCTCAGATATTCTTTGGTCTGAAGAATCTTTCCCACAAATTGTGTTTTACTTTTCTTCCCCCCTTGACTCAAAGGACAGAAAAGGATTTAAACAGAAGACTAAATGTGCTATAGTGTATTTTTGAATTGGTGCCTAGGAGCAGCTAAATGCTCATCTCTTGCCAGATACTAATCACTAGGAAGTGTTTCATTCTGAGCTTATTGTTGACTAAAGTGACAGTGGGGCAAAACATACACATTTTAAATATGCTTTTACTTCAGGACGAGTTATTAATCTGTGTACTAATTTAGATCCTAATTGATGTGTAACACCCTTTTTTTTTTTTTTTTAGGGTTCCAATAAACTATTAGCCAAGCCCATTACCTGGTTCTCGTAGTATCACCCTTATTTTAAATGGTCAAATCAATCTACAGTTTTGGTGAAGGTATTTTGGGCTTGGCTGGCTCTGTCTGAGAGGGAGAGGACTATAAATCTTATACTTTTCAAACACCTAGTGATAAATTTTTCTTGAGGGTCCCACTCACCGTAGTTCTACAGGCTCCTGACTGCTGTGGTGCTTTGTCCACTGCCTTGCCACTTTGAACTTCTGAAACTCAACTCTTAACAGCTATTTTCTTGCTAATTTGATGTGAAGTCAGGTGCTCATCTTTTAATTAGAAGGATCAAAAAGGCAATGCCCAGACTTCTTAGTTTGCTATACAGACTTGTGACCTCAGGCCAGCAGCCCTCGGGAAGGCTGAAATTCAGTTGCAACTCCCTGGTCCCAGAAATCCCATTCTGAGTTCCTGCCTTTGGTTTAAGCTACTGAAAATGGTTGAAGAGAGTAAAATTGAAAACTCTGGGGGTTGTCTTAGAGTTGTTTGTTTGTCAGGTGCTTACTCATTGGCTTCCATCAAACACCTTTTGCAGCAATCTGTGAGGGCCCTGCTTGCCAAGACAGTTTCCCCATGGGTGACCATTTCCCCGTCTGGTTTGTTCTTTGTTGATTGTATTTGAAGTACTTAAGTTAGTGACCTTCCAGTATCATATGACTAACTTCCTTCCTCTGTCCTGGAAGAATTTTAGCTGTGATGACAAGTAAAAAAGTACCAAACTAGAGACTGGTGTTAAGATCAAGTTGAGTTAATGACTGGCAGACATGCATGCATAGTTCATTGCACAGTACAGTATGCATCTGAATGGGATGCCTCTTGCTATTGATTTAATGTTTGTCTGCTGTGCAATAATTTTTCAGCTTCTTGGACTCATGAGGTTAATTAGATAACTGATCAAACTTGTTCCTCTTGTAAGTTGACTGATGTCAGTCTTGAGAGCAATTTGACTTTGGTTCAGGCTTCTGGACTCAGAAACTATCAGGAATATTTAATGAAATTTCCATTTCTTTTTCTCAGAAGATGTTTTCTCATATTCTGGCTGCTGTATAACTAAAGAATTAGCTGCCTGAGAATCAATTTGAATCTTGGTGTTCTTATTCTTTATCTTGTATGGATGAGGTACTGGTGTTATGCTTTGCACTGTTACTTTCAAGTATAACAATTTTGTTTTCTGGGTGGTAGTGCTTTTTGAGATCAAAATTCTTTGATGTAAATAAGGCCCAGAAAGGATGATAGCTGCCAAGTGGATTTGACAGCTCTATGCTTAGCATCAGGTTTGAGGCAGATATAGCCAGCCAGCAGGAACTACTGATACAATGGTGTACCTTGTGGTATTACTTGCAGTGCAGATGCAAATATTCCTTTAGGCAACTTGTATATGTGTTTTATCTGATTTTTAATCTGCTTTAAAAGAAAGATAAACCTTGACATCCAAAATGCAT